GGTCTCTCTCTCTGGGTTCTCTCTGATCTCTCTCTGGACTCTCTCTGGTCTCTCTCTGGTCTCTCTCTCTCTGGTCTCTCTCTCTCTCTGGTCTCTCTCTGGTCTCTCTCTCTCTCTCTCTGGTCTCTCTCTGGTCTCTGGTCTCTCTCTGGTCTCTCTCTGGTCTCTCTCTGGTCTCTCTGGTCTGTCTCTGGTCTCTCTCTGGTCTGTCTCTAGTCTCTCTGGTCTCTCTCTGGTCTCTCTCTGGCCTCTCTCTGGTCTCTCTCTGGTCTCTTTCTCTCTGGTCTCTCTCTGGTCTCTCTCTGGTCTCTCTCTGGTCTCTCTGGTCTCTTTCTGGTCTGTCTCTGGTCTCTCTGGTCTCTCTCTGGTCTCTCTCTGGTCTCTCTCTGGTCTCTCTCTCTCTGGTCTCTTTCTGGTCTGTCTCTGGTCTCTCTGGTCTCTCTGGTCTCTCTCTGGTCTCTCTCTGGTCTCTCTCTGGTCTCTCTCTCTCTGGTCTCTCTCTCTCTGGTCTCTCTCTGGTCTCTCTCTGGTCTCTCTCTGGTCTCTCTCTGGTCTCTCTGGTCTCTCTCTGGTCTCTCTGGTCTCTCTCTGGTCTCTCTGGTCTCTGGTCTCTCTCTGGTCTCTCTCTCTGGTCTCTCTCTCTGGTCTCTCTCTGGTCTCTCTCTGGTCTCTCTGGTCTCTCTCTGGTCTGTCTCTGGTCTCTCTGGTCTCTCTGGTCTCTCTCTGATGATGAGATTGTTTGGTTTCACAGTAGTGGCCACAGATGAAGTGTATCTGTCTAACGCGGCTGTTTTGTCTCTGACTGTGTTGTTCTGTCACTTTGAAGGACATTTTGTTTATTTAAAGTCTAATCAGGGAGTGTTATGCACCTTGTTTACTTTTTAGAAATGCTATATTTGTGAAAGTTATGCTAGGGCAAGATTCAAAGACAAAAATCTCTTGTTCTTTTGGCAATAAATCAAATGTGATCAACTAATCGAAAATGTGAGAAATTGTGAAATCGTGGGTAATATTTCTGGTCCATAAAATATCAATACAAATGATATGTGTGTGTATGTGAGCTTGTGTGTGTGAGCATGTGTGTGTATGTGTGCATGGGTGTGTATGTGAGCATGTGTGTGTATGTGAGCGTGTGTATGTGAGCATGGGTGTGTATGTGAGCATGGGTGTGTATGTGTGCATGTGTGTGTATGTGAGCATGTGTGTGTATGTGAGCATGTGTGTGTATGTGAGCATGTGTGTGTATGTGAGCATGTGTGTGTATGTGAGCATGTGTGTGTATGTGAGCATGTGTGTGTATGTGAGCATGTGTGTGTATGTGAGCATGTGTGTGTATGTGAGCATGGGTGTGTATGTGAGCATGGGTGTGTATGTGAGCATGTGTGTGTATGTGAGCATGGGTGTGTGCATGTGTGTGGCCGTGCGTGTGGCCATGTGTGTGTTGTGTGTGTTGTGTCTGTGTTTGCGGGTGCGTGTGTCTGTGAGGATGTGTGTTTGCATATGTGTACGTATGTATGTTAGCATGTGTGTGTGTTTCTGTATGTATGGCCGTGTGTGTGTTGGCGTGTTTGTTTGCGAGCATGTGTGTGTGTTTCTGTATGTGTGGGCGTATGTGTGTTTGCGAGCATGTGTGTGTGTTTCTGTACGTGTGGGTGTGTGTGCGTGTGTCTGTGTGTGTGTTGGCGTGTTTGTTTGTGTGTGTGTGGCCGTGTGTATCCTTTATGTCTGTGAGTCTAACCTCAGCCTCCCGCTTCTTCGTGCTCCTTCTGCTGGACACGGTCGATTCAGTAAATATAGGCCCATAACTACTCCTCTCTCTGACACTCTCATGACCACAAAGTATTAAAACATAGAATTTCTGTTGTTGCAAAACGCACAGAAAAGTGAAAGTTTGTTGGTGTTATTCAGTAAATGAGTCTGGCCTGCCGCTGACCCGTGTGTGCCCTGGTCGGCTCCAGCGCTTCACTTCAAAAAGCAAAAAAAAAGTTCAGCTGTAAATAACTTCTCTGTGTGGTCCCTGATGGAGACACACTCATTTCATCAGACAAACATTGACCTTTGTCCGATACAAAAAAAGGAAAACATTGAATTAACCATTTTTAAAAATTGACCCAGTAGTGCAAAAGTATACAATATTATTTATGTCTCTGTCTTGTAAATATTTGCCTATACTTTCTATGGCACCACTGGTTAGAAGCTAAACTGTGTTTTGTGGCATTTTTCTGATTTTGTAATGACAATAATGTTTAATCTAATCTATTCTTATCTAAAAGGGTACCTAACTTTCTTCTGCCATAAATACAATATTGTGTGTCCCAACCAGTGCGGGTGGGTCCTGGCTCCAAAAGGTCCATGCTGCAGTCTCACTCCACACCGGTGGGGGTGTACCCGGAAAGAGAATTACCCAATGCTTTTCTATGGCGTTATCTTTCCTCTTCACAGGATGGTCCAAATGCGTTTTTTCACATTTTCCTGCCCTGTGGCCATTTTGATAAAGCTCACAGAAGGCAAAGTGGTGGCACAGTTTCAACAGCGGAGATAGGCGTCACTACGTCCATGAATATTTACAGTCTAACAAACCAGACCACAACATCCATCTTATTTGAAATACTGTTATCATTTGCGTACATGTAAGAAAGAGGCCTGTGGTCACTATTTGAGTTAATGACAAAAGATACATGCAAAAACTAGTGATAGACACTGTTTTGAGACAGAGGAACTAGCACATTTAAAGCAACCAGGGTTACCAAAGTGCTGTACAGACAAGAGAAAAACAGCAACAATAAAAACACGTAAAAAATACAAAAATGACTATATATATTGTAAGTAACAGTTTACGTAGTTACATCTCTTATGGGTAATGTAAATATAGCCATAACGGTTTTGTTTATTAATATAACATCGGTAGTAGTTGAACAATATAGAAGTTTGTGAGGGCAAGAGTAGCTCAGTTGGTAGAGCATTGGCCTTTGAGCCTGAAGGTCGTGAGTTCGAGCCCACCACAATATCTACTGCACGACTCCCACTGAAGTCTGCTATCGCTGTGTCCTTGGGCAAGACACTGAACCCCACTTTGCCTGAAGCCCCCGCTGAAAGATCAAGGCTATGCTGTCATCGACACAACAGCCATCCTTCTGTGGACTCAGCACCTGCAGGAGGATCAGTGAGGGGCTGGTGCTCTGTGACTTGGGTGAATTGCCACCCCCCGACCAAGTGTTGGATTAAGGGGAAGAAAATGGATGGATGGATGTTGAAAATTGTCTGTGCAGTTCCAAGGACACACTTGGGACTGATTGATCCATGTTTTTTCCTTTTTCTTTTTCCTCCCACTCCCCTCAAAAAGGGCCCAGTCCATCTCAGTCTCATCCTGATGACTCACTGCCTCCTCTGGGTCTCTAATGGTTTTGCATTGTCACATGAAAACAGCAGTGTATCAACAGATAAAGGCTAAAAGCTCCATCAGCGCCGGAGTGTGTCCTGGCAGGATCTTATCAGTCCACATAATGTACGGCCTGTGTGTTTGTAAGGCGACTCCCTCTGCTCGTCCCCGCATGCTCCTCTCTCACACGCCTATCTCCTCGTCTGACGGACACATTTCACCCTCGACTCTCACTCAAAAACTTTCTCTTCCTCTGCTCTGGAGACTCACGCAAAGGGCCTGAGCGTGTAGGGCACTCCCAGTCTCCGTCTCTGCCCCAATGCTGCTCAAATGAAACGATTCTTTGGCCTGGTTCTGGAGCGACTGCTGCTTTTATCCAGCAAAAGCGACAAGGCAAAGAAAAAAGGCAAAAACCGTGAGAAGAAACACAAGACTGTGAGTAATGTGGTGCCGTAGACTTTTCTTTTCATCTTGTCATGCCCTTTGAAGCTGCAGATACTTGTGGAGTGGAGGATGATAATTTAATGTGTGAGGAAGTCAGGTTTGATGAATGCTGCTGCTATGTGACCCGGTGTCAAAAAGTGGATTGGTATTATTATTATGTTATGTTGTGTGTGCTAGACAAAAGCAGAGGTTGATGTACTACTTAGCTTGCCTTACAGACTTTCTCTACTTCCCAAAATAACCAAGGTCAACTCCAGGAGCATTTAAGGGACTGACAGGAACTCCCTATAAACATCAAGCATTGTGTAGAATTTGAGAGTTTGTCGGTCTTTTGGCCCGGCGCTGCAATTGCATATTTACGATCTAATTGTACACTGTCCCTATTTAGAAGAATAAATGATAGAAAAAATGTATATGTGTAACACTGTAGTAACATAATATGAAGCGTGCATGTTGAGACAAGACTTTGCTATATATTCCTCCTGACTGCTTCTTACACCCTGGATGTGTTGCTTGTGACCTCTTTAGATTATATGGGGGCTCAGGTGACCCATGTGTGCCTATGTCTGTGACCCATATTACTCAAAACTGACTTTAGTTTTTCAATCGGGTTTTAGTCCTTCTGTACCTGCGCAGGTTTTGCTTTTCAAAATTTAGGCCCAGACATACATTTGGAGCAACTGCAGTAGTCGACCTAGATTGAGACAAAAGATGATTTTGAAACTAACCCAATGAACACATTTGCAATGTAGTAATGTTATCTAAAAACAGGTATATTTTTGTACTCGGGTTTTGTGTATTATTTGACAGAAACGTGCTATAATCTCCCCCTAATTTATAAAATGCTTGATTAGTTTGATGAGCGGTTCTAAAGTGATTTACTGTGTCATGGGGCAGTGTGTAATGTGTGTGTTTGTGTCTCTTTAGGCACACACAGGGGCCCTGGAGCCAAGGCTCTGGAGCAGTTGTGGACATTATTGTGGATAAATACATGTTTATTAAAGTCGGCGTGTGTGTGTTTGACAAAGAGGAAAAGGAAAGATGAAACATATTTTTTTCTCTGTGGCGCTAACACAGAGACACACAGTGTTAAATGTTGTCCCATATCTTAAACCATGAAAGCGAACACAACATCTTGTTCATTTGAAGACATTTTCTCTGTGTTTCTGTTCTCCAGGTGATCCTGACAGTTTACCTCAATGACACGCAGCAGATGCTCACAGAGGTGCCCGTTACCCCGGCGACCAGGGTGGTGGACGTGGTGGAGTACTGTAAGGAGGCGGGAGAGGGCGAGTGCCATCTGGCCGAAGTCTGGAGCGGCCACGGTCAGAAATACTACTACTAATACTACTAATGTGTTCAATCTCGTAGTTTTTGTTCTATTGCTGTAGCTCTGTAGCACATAATAAATATAATACAATCAGTTCTGCCCTGTTTGAGCCTGGTCTTACCACACCATCATACTAATTACATTTCGTACTTAGGTCTGGATTTGCTCCATCGAGCTTCGTTAACAGGTCAGAGGGGTTAACTCCTTTTGCAGATTGAAACGATTGGATCTGAGTTTTGCCGTGACGTATGTAATGAGCCCCAATGAGTCACTAGCATTTAGCATTTAGCCTAGTTTTAGCCATCTACTTTGCCGCTAACAGAGCCCGTGGGGAGTGGAGCCACAACATCTTTGCCAGCATTGACATTTGCTAAACTTTCCTCTTGCTCCGGCTTCAATTTCTTGATATTTGGAGCCGAACCAGAACGGAAAGCTTTACAATCACATTCTCAGCCATTGCCAAACAACAACCAGCAAATTTGGCACAAACCCTTGACGTCACCGACACCTCCCTACAACACCCGCCTCCCTGCTCTCTGATTGGTCGTAGGGGATTCAACCGAGGAAACTGCAGCCACTAGGATCAGATCAAGACCAAACTAACCCTGTTATGACCATAATTCATTCATCATTATTATTTGATTCAATTATGGGTGACCACAAGTGAATTTAAAGCTTGGGTTTCTAACTTAAAAAACCAACAAAAAACAACAAAAAACATTACGTTTACTCGTGAAATTTGACACTAAGGGGTGAGAGCTGATTGGCTGAGTGAGAATGGTTCTTTCTTTTTGTACTTCTCTGTCTGAATGTTTTCTGTCTGTGAAAAAAACGTGATCGAACCAAACTGTTTTGAGAATGAGGAACTAAATAGGTCTAAGGATTTTATTCCATTTGCCCCCTTTTTTTGTTGTTTAAAAAAAACCTACCTCAGCTTTAAGAGAGATTTGGTTTTAATTTGTGATTCTAATTTTGTACTTTTTTTCATCCAATTACGTGTGACCACTTAAATGGGGTCGATGTGTTTGTTTTAGTGCAGCCCAACAATGCATGAAGAGCGGCATGTTTGTGATTCTGGTCTTTGAAAATAATGATTACTTACTTTCTGAGACATACTCCAGTCTATCTAAACAAATTGCTGCTGTTTTTTTCTTCAGATTTAAGCAACTTTGTACAGACAATTAGATTTTTCCTATGGTTATTATTGTTTTTTTTAAGAGATATGAAAACCGTCCTTCTCTTTTCACACCAATTTATCTTTAATAACAGCGAAGAGTCCATTGCCAGACACACCTACAGCTCTCACCTATAATCTGTATTGACACTCTGTCCTCTGTGCATTGGCAAACACAGTATCCACCACACTCTAATCCGCATTTATTAGCCCGGATAATAACACCCTGTCATTCGCCTACAAAGCTAATAATAAATAAAATTGACCTGTTTATTGCGGCTTTAGTGTGTGGATGTCTATAAACTGTAACTTTAGAAAGACATCTCTCTATAGCCTTGGTGTCAAAGTCAAGGCCCGGGGGCCAGATTCGGCTCAAAAATGGTGTTCTCTTGGCCCCTGGGATGATATTTGATTAGTATTAGAACCAGCCCCGTCTCAGAGCTATAAGAAAATATTGGAAATTGAATCTAATGTTCAGGACATGTGTTTTTTCTCTGTGAAGGAAGTTTGTTTTTGTCTGTGAGTCTGTTTAAAAATGTATTCTCTTGAAATTACTGACGGAGCCTTACAAAAATATTGGGTTATTCATTTCATCATAAAAATACGGTACACTGTGTTAGGTCTTGGTTCAATAGATTACATGTAATCATTTTCATATTTTTTACAGTTCTAAACATTGAACCAGCAGCAAATGTGTAGTTTTGCCCTCTGCTGTATTTGACTTTGACACGGCTCTATAGCTTCTGAGTTGATTCAAACCTGGCCTAGATTTCCTCCTATCAGTTGTTATGGCAGTGGATCACGAAGCAGCATGGCGCTAAGTGTTTTTCTCTATGGTGTGACAGAGCCGTTGGATATGGACTATAAATGGCCGTGGCACTAAGCCGAAGGATAGGACATAAATACAGTTTTAAATGCTATTGTGCTTAAGTGTAATAAAAAGGTCATGCCCGCAGGCTCCCCTCTGGCCTCATTATGAGTCTGGGGTCAGGACTTTATACACAGCACATGTTTTTTTTTTCAGTTATGGTACAGAATGTCTGGTTATCTAACAATCAAAGGTCACGACTTTATACTAATGTGGTTTAACCTCAATTTCAATGCCAAAAAATGAGGGCTGGGCATCTTTCAAAGCCTGTTGGTAAAATACATATCTCAATACAGTGGACCTTCAATTCAATACAATTCTAATTTTCACGGTTGGATCTTGAAAAGTTTCCAAGTAGAGCTTCAATATGCAGTAGAAGAAATAGAAGTGAGACATAAAAAAAAGGGAGCAAGCTATTTATTGACTCTGACACTGACCCAGATCCTTGACAACAAATTCTCTCTGAAATACGCTCACATTTACCATTTCAATTGTTCGATTCAAATATTTGTTTCCTGTATAGCTCTAAATCAAAACAGTAGTGATCTCTGAGGACTGCTGTTGATTCGCCAATACAGATCAGAGAATCAAATCGTTCAAACACAAGAAATGCAATGATAAAAAAATATACAGAGGGCTGTTGGTCCATAAGAGGCAGATTACCAATGTCCATAAATGTTGATAAATGTTGTTGCATGTGGAGTGTCCTGGATCATCACCACTGAGACCCTCCTGCATCGGCAAGAACCAACTATAAAAACCCAGGGAAAGAAAATGTGAAACCTCAGGGAAGGCCCACATTGAGGGAGGGATTAGCTCCCCTGCGGGTATAGATCCAGGACTCAGGACGTAGAAAGACAGTGTAATTCAAGATTTTATTGTTGCTTTTTGTCACTAGTTACTTTTGCTCAAATAGCACTTGTGAATATTGATCCACATGGTTTGAATTTGTATTTTTTGTTTTATTTTTCCAACTATCCAATCACACGGCGGTTTTGTCTTGTGTGTCTTTGCAGAGCGAGTTCTTCCCCAGGAGCTGTTATTGCTGGACCTCCTGCAGCAGTGGGGATCCAGGCGGCCTGAGGTCAGCTTCTACCTGCGCCACTGCCCCTCCTGGCCACAAGGTAGTACTGCAGCCTGTCGACCCCTCTGTGAAACCGCCTCTCGCTAAACTCTCGCTAACGTCTATCGGAAACTTAGAAATCTCACTAATCATATGTCTCATGGTTGATTGCATTCACACACACACACACACACACAGACACATTCACACACACACACACACCTACAGACGCGCATGCAAGCACACACACATGCTCACAAACACATACACACATACACCCTTGTTCACAAACACAATTCCATTACATTACGTCAATTCTTACATAGCTCTAAATCACAACAGTAGTTATCTCGTAGGACTTAACACGAAACCGTTAATTTGCCAACACAGATCAGGGAATCAAACACACACACACACATACACACACACTCATGTTGTTGTGGCGGGCTGCAGACACACAATCACTGGTGTACCGTAAGAGTCAAGGTGGGGTCAGGGAGCAGCTCAGTACTCAGTAATTAGGCAGATTAGAGGATGATGAGTGTTATGTAACAAACTGAGGAGGGGGACCTGAGTGAGGAGACAAGGTGAGATATTGATATGAACAATATCTGTATCAGACATTGGTGTAGTATTCCCCCCGCTCGGACAATAACCACATCCATCAATCCAATCCACATCCAACAATAACTCTGAATTGCATTTGTTGCATTCATTGTGACCTATTGTTGCCTAAATTTACACTGGGTTATTCAGTTAAGACAGTACTGGGCTGTAGTTAAAGTAGCAATGTCTATTCATCATTAAATAGCCCTAAAAAAAGTATTAAAATGGTCAAAATGGCCTTTTCAAATACTTCTTTAACTGATACTTCTTAAACTAAAATGTTGTATTTCAGCCGAGATATTTGGATTTCAAAATGAGTTTTACAGTCCCAAATGATGTTATTGTTTTTTTTTCAATCAGAAAGTCCGTGATGCGGGTTGAGCTAATCTCACTGTTAAAGTAACTTGTGGCCGTAGAATTAAAAAAGGTCTCGTTATGATTCTAAAATCATTAATGATAAACAAGGAATAAAATGAGAATTTCTATCTTTGTGAAACATATGTTGGTTATAGATTTGTTGTTGACAAAACTATTGTATATTCAGTTATGGTCCCAGCTGGATTTGTCTGCATATCTGGCAACCTGGGGGAGACAGTAGCTCAGTTGGTAGAGCATTGGCCTTAAGGCCTGAAGGTCGTGGGTTCAATTCCCACCTCTGCACCTTCTCCACTGACTCCCACTGATGACTGCTGTCGTTGTGTCCTTGGGCAAGACACTTAACCCCACTTTGCCCAAAGCCCCAACTGAAAGATCAAGGCTATGCTCACACTCAGAGAGCAGCCGTCCTCCTGTGGACTCACCACCTGCAGAGGGTCAGTGAGGGGCTGGTGCTATGAGACTTGGGTGGCATCTCTGAAATGGATTAAAGGGTAGAAAATGGATGGATGGATGGATCTGGCAACCTGAGTCAGGGAGAGTGGGAGAGTGGGAGAGGTTGCAGTACCACTTTTGGCCAGATGTTTAAATATTGCTCCTTTAATCAATTCATTGTAACCAGTCAATCATTGAAATAGCAGTTGATTACAGCCTTAAAGTATATTCACTGTTTTATATACACAATTTTGACCTCGCAATTTCCCAAACTCTAAACTTAACTCTAAACTTTACCGTCATTATAGCACTGTTAAGGGCTTCAGCTTTTCTAAGGGCACACTTATGGTTTTGTCTGGTTTTCTAAATAGCATAAAAAGTTGAAAGAAATGTCAATGTTTTGCCCTTTTTCTACACTTTTAGACAAGTAAATGCAGCAGAGGCTAGCAGAGTCCCTCAACACTATTTCATTGTTTTTGTGTGTGTTTTATTTCCAGTGGAGGATAATTTATCTTTCACGCTGCTGGCTCGTCACAAGGCTCCACTGTCCTCCGAGGACCGATGACTTTGCTATGATTCTGTTCACTCTGATACTTCAGCTGTTTGTCTGAATTCTGTATTCCATACTTTATGCTCAAATCAATGTAAAACAGCTCTTCTGCTTTTGTGGTATCAATGGTTTGGAGGAAAGTGACAAAGGATGCAGATGTCTGGGATTATGTTGCCACACAGCCTAGTTTAACATGACCGTCACATTCACAGGCACAAATACAGCAGCTTCCTATCAGCATCTGCCTCGTCACAAAAAGTTTGCTTAGTCCTAAAATAGATGAAGCAAAATGTCACTGATTTGTGAATACTGGTGTAATTACCTTGGTTTGTTAATGAACAACACTCAGGTCTAGGGATGGGTGTCTTTCAGAACCTGCAGATGTGTATTTTGATACACAAGACACAACACGATACATATTAGGCCTGGGCGATAAAACGATGGCGATAGGGAAGGACAGAGGTGTGGACTCGAGTCATGTGACTTGGACTCGAGTCAGACTCGAGTCATGATTTTGATGACTTTAGACTCGACTTGACCAAATATAAAAAGACTTGCAACTCGACTTGGACTTTAACATCAATGACTCTGACTTTCACTTGGACTTGCGCCAATTGACTTGTAAAGACTTGCGTAACCCGGGCCATTTTTACCTTTCTCCGCATCTCTCTTTCTATCTATGCCGTCTCTGAAGAAACAAAGCCTCGCGGTAGTTGTAGCGCTCGCGAGAGAGTTTGAACGTGAGTTCCCCGCAGTTCGCGCAGCAACACTTCCCTAAACAAGCGGACTGCATTCACCGGTGGGTGTGTTGTCGTAGGGGAGCTGGAAATGAGCGAGCTGCAGGTATTTATCGCGACCTAACGTCATATTTTGTTCTACAAACCGTAATTGATATGCTTTCACTACAGGCGCCTCATACAATTGAATCGACGCAGTTGTCACACTGTGTGCCGTGTTTTAAAGAGGAACTGGTGAGTCAAACTAGCGCTAGCCTGCGCTGCTCTGTTGGCTCTTTCTTATATTTTTCTGTGTGGGCGCCGAGGCCTATTATTATGAGTATGTTTTTGCTGTGCTCCTCCTGCTAAAGTTTGCATACATTAGATAGTTGTTTTGATTATGTGCACTAAGCTAGATTAATATTTGCACTATTGTTTATGGTGCATTGATATGAGAATCAGTGCTTTGACTGATTGAATTAATTTATATGAGACATTTTATTATGTAATGATATATTGGTAATTATTAGTGGGAAAAGCTCCCACTGAAAGATCAAGGCTATGCTCACACTCAGAGCAGCCGTCCTCCTGTGGACTCACCACCTGCAGAGGGTCAGTGAGGGGCTGGTGCTATGAGACTTGGGTGGCATCTCTGATTGCCACCCCCCTGACCCAGAAATGGATTAAAGGGTAGAAGATGGATAGATGGATATTGGTAATTATGAGATATTGCTAATGCTGGTCCAGTTGATGGCGAGCTGCCCCAGGTCCAAAGCCTAGACCCCTCATACTACCCCTATTCTACAGTAGGACATTTGGAACAATAACCACTACGGACATTAAACTGTCATATATAGATACAGGTCCTAGCCCAATACTCATATTCATATATGCTGCACTTGCTACTTCCCATTAAAAACCCCAAAGATAAAAAGTATGTTGACACGGACTGCTCTGATTTTATGTGTGGTCTGTGCATGTGTAACTGAGCCTGCATCTGGCACCACATCCAATTAGATCACGTAGATAGTTTTGATTTATCAGCAGCCAACGACATGGAACAAACTGTTAGTCCATGGGTCAGAGACCAACGAGAATGCACCAGCAAAATGATTCCTAACATTATTTTGTTTGCCTACAAAAGTACGTGGAGACCAACAAGAAACAAATCGCGGTCAAAAAGACTCGAGAGGACTCGAAAGTCAAACCGTAGGACTTGGGACTGACTTGAGATTTGTTGGCCTTTGACTTGGACTCGACTCGGGACTTGCCTGTCTTGACTCGTGACTTGACTCGGGACTTGAGGGCAATGAATTGAGACTGACTTGTGACTTGCTAAACAATGACTTTGTCCCACCTCTGGGGAAGGAACCGCAAAACATTCTGGGAAATGCAAAAACAACAACCGCACCATGTGTAGCGTCCATGGATCTATGGATAGTTTTTCAATGCCGTGTCAATGATTATGAATGTGCGGCGCGGGAGAGGTAGTGGGTACAGAGACGCAATGCATTCGGCGAAAGCAAGAGATGAACTTTTTCCGGAGCCGTCACGAGGACACAAGACACTCGAAAACAGCCAAAAAAGTTAAGCCAGGACTAAACCAGGATTAAACTAGGACTAACTATGGGGGACACTTTGCTTGTGAACATATTCCCCGAGCCTCATTCCCCCGTGACTATAAACAAGGGCTGTAAGTAAAAAAAAAAAAACAATCAATATATATCGTTATCGACCGATATGAATTACTTATATTGTGAAATAGTTTTCAGCCATATCGCCCAGCCCTATTGCATATCAAGTCTGTACGATATATTTATTTTCACTAGGATTCAGATTAAAAATTGCCTCAGTCCTGGGAACGGATCCCTCTCTTAATATGGGCGTCCTCGAGGTTCTCACTTTTTCCCCACTGAGTTTTTGAGTTGTTCTTCTGATGCAGGAGGGTCTAAGGACAGTGATGATCCGAGACATTTAAGGACGTTTGTTTTTATTGAATTTCACACGTTTGAATTTCTTCCTCCAATCTGTGTAATCTAATCTAATCTGTAATCAATAGTATCAAAAATTACAGAAGTGCTCAGAGACTTCTGGATTCTACAAAAATAAATGTAATTACATTTTGAATTGTTTATAAAGTCAAATAAGAAACAAAATAAAAATATATATAAAAAGAAATGACTTATTATGACTTATCTTATAATGAAACTAAATCAATATTGAATCATCCTTTTAAACTATTCATATTCTATCTATCTTTTATTTTTTTTTCTGGCTTGGGCCCACTCCGGTCGGCCCAGACCATGGTGCAGTTTAGATCAGGGCTGTAGTTGGTCCATTGACTGGTAGTGAATCTTGTTGCTGCCAGGGATTAGCCCAGATTGCACCTGTCTGGTTCATCTGGAATTAAACAAGTACTATTTATATCAAACTACAAACATGGAGCTACACTGGGAATGAGGAGGGATTTCAATGTTTATCCACTATCTGTGTGTAAAGAATAATGTCTCACCCTTTCCTTGAGTTCATTATGACGTCTGTTTGTCTTTTGCTGAAAGTCAGAAAGGGTTTTATATCAGAGTATGCTTTATTGGTACATACACTTTGCATTTTATAGGCTTCTTGCCCGGTAAAGAAACTCTCTGAATACCAATGGGAATATGGAGATGGCAAGGTCACAAAATGTTATATAGAAGTCGGCATATACATTTACAGTAGATGTCTCTGTATCTCCAGCCTAGTGACCCATAACAAAGCATTTTTTTAAGGTATCTTTAAATAACAGAACATTCACTTTAGAATAATACTAACATAATGATAGATTAAGACAGGCATTTTTCTTCATCCAATTCCTTTTCAAACCATGCTCTGTACAGGTTGTTTGTATAATTTCAATCTGAAGAGACCAAGACAGAAACATTAATGCATGGAAAAGATTTATTTGTTTGCCGCATTTACCCTGGGTCAAGCACTGGTGGTAGCTAGAAGCATGGTGTGAATGGGGCGTAGGCGGCATAGGAGCCAGGGCAGGAGCCAGGGCAGGAGCCAGGGCAGGAGCCAGGGAAGGAGCCAGGGCAGGAACCAGGGCAGGAACCAGGGCAGGAACCAGGACAGGAGCCAGGGCAGGACCCAGGGCAGGACCCAGGGCAGGAGCCAGGGCAGGAGCCAGGGCAGGAGCCAGGGCAGGAGCCAGGGCAGGAGCCAGGGCAGGAGCCAGGAGCTTGAGGAGGTGCTGGGGAGTTGGTGGGTGTTAAGAGCCTCTGGAAGCCCTGTTTATCTGGAAGTGGCTGCTTTTAAACTGCCTACTTTGCTGTCAGTGGGTTGGCGAGAGGCTGGCCGAGCTGTGTGATTGGCTGAGACTCGAGGCTGGCAGAGCTGTGTGATTGGCTGAGACTCGAGGCTGGCAGAGCTGTGTGATTGGCTGAGACTCGAGGCTGGCAGAGCTGTGTGATTGGCTGAGACTCGAGGCTGGCAGAGCTGTGTGATTGGCTGGCCCTGGACGGGTGAGAGCTGTGGCCTTTCTTTCAGTCTGAATTTGCACTTCAGATTAATTTCTCTGCAAATTATGTCTTCATGTAAAATTCAAAAACCATATTGATATACCAACATTAATAACATATACATTGGAATCCGTTGATTCATTTCTGATACAGGTTTTGTTTCTCTAATCCAGAAAACTGTATTTATTCGCAAAGGACATGTTTCGTAGTTACACAGCTGCACTCACTCATTAGTGATTAGAAAATAACAGCTTATTCCTTATATTTTTCACTACCAGCATTTTGTATTCTGCAATTTGTCTTGCATATACTACATGTAACTGTTGATCTGCTTTACATTAATAACTATGAAATACTATGGTCAACATAGCCTGGTCTCACCACACCATCGTACTAATATCATTTAGGGTGATAATAATTTACCAGAGTTTACAGATGCACTAGGGTCAACATAATCTTCAAAAAAGTAAAACAAAAAGTTGTGAAACCCACCTGAAAATCAACTGAACCGATTTAGAACACACATATTAGTATTTATCCAAGCAACTGGAAAAGTTCTGGCCAGAAAAAGTTACATAGCTCCACTTTACTTCATCTTAAATCTGTCTGTCTGTCTGTCTGTCTGTCTGTCTGTCTGTGTATGTATGTCTCTGTGTGTATGTCTGTCTGTCTCTCTCTCTCTGTCTGTGTGTATGTATGTCTGTCTGTATGGCTGTCTGTGTGTAAGTATGTCTGTGTGCATGTGTGTGTCTGTCTGTCTGTCTGTCTGTCTGTCTCTTTCTGTCTGTCTGTCTCTCTCTCTGTCTGTCTGTCTGTCTCTCTCTCTGTCTGTCTGTCAGTCTGTCTGTATCTCTCTGTCTGTATGTCTGTGTTTGTATGTCTCTGTGTGTGTATGTCTGTGTCTGTCTGTCTGTCTGTCTGTCTGTCTCTCTCTGTCTGTCTGTGTGTATGTATGTCTGTCTGTATGGCTGTCTGCGTGTAAGTATGTCTGTGTGCATGTGTGTGTCTTTCTGTCTGTCTGTGTGTCTGTATGTCTGGCTGTCTGTATATCTGTCTGTCTGTCTGTATTGTCTCTCTGTCTGTTTGTCTCTCTCTGTCTGTCTGTATGTATGTCTGTCTGTATATCTGTGTGTAAGTATGTCTGTGTGTATGTGTCTGTCTGTCTGTCTGTCTTTCTGTGTGTGTGTGTGTTTATTTAATCAGGGACTATGCACAAATGACATTAGTCTATGACAGAAGAGATATCGTCTGCCAGGTTCTAGCATGAGCTGCTAATTTCCACCCGTTGTCCCTGGACAGGTTCTTGATACACTTAAGTCAGAAACATGCATGAAACCCAAAGTCATACAGTTTTATGATTGCTTAATATTGTTCACTGGTTTGCAGGGAGTCCGCAGGCTCCGGACCAGAGCTGGACCACTGAAGCCGCAGACAGCACTGATGACAAGGTAGGTGTAATCTAAAGGTCGAAATGGACAAAAGAAAATAATATGTAATGTATTTTTCACCTCCTACTTTGCATATAAATTCATTACCAAACATTCTCTAACTTCCTATTCACAATCCCTTCTATTGTATCTATATTTAGTCCATATGTATAAAGCCTTTAAAGTCTTTGGGGCATTGTCATATAGTCCATTGTTCGCATGTTACAATGGAGCCCTATGCGTTCTAGCGGACTGCGTTTAGTCTCTCAGTGTAGCCAACCAGATTAGCTGTGGGATTAGTGACAGTGATGATTATAGCTGGCTACGAGCAAGAGCCAAGTGAACACACATCTCTCCCGGTGACTCCAAGACCTAATTTTGCAACTATCTGCGCCTGCTAATTGGTTTGTTTTGCTCGCTCCCGTGCAAAACACTTATGAATCACATCGGCAAAAAGGGCAGCTGACTTCATGCCTGCAAAGCTATTTATTGCTACGTGCTATTTCGGAGTCACCAAACACCAAATGTTGAGGCTTGCTTTTGTGTCCGAGCTGGTCAGAGTTAGTCAGTTTCTATTGTAAGGTCGTGCTTTGTGTGTTTTGGGTATTTTTTCTCCATTGTAAAGGCTAAAATCGCTTCACAATTCACGGGGAGCTGGTTGACTTTTGTGGACAAAAACAAGTTTCAAAAGGTTTAGTGCGTTATCATCAGATCAGCAGAAGGATTGAGAGATTAAATATGACCTTAACTCATTGACTGCCAGCCGTTTTGGATTATTTCACTGATTCTCAAGACCCACAGAATATTATGTGCTAAGACTAGGAGAAATATCAACCCAGATTCTGAATTACTGGATTGTCTACTTTTATCAGCAAAAATAAGTATGTTTCTAGCTTTTTTGTTCTCCTGTAATCCCCAGTCGAAAAGAAGAAAGTTTGACAGAAATCACCAGTCTCCAGGCATGCCCAAACTCCGGCTCGAGTGCCAAATGCGGCCCTCTGTGTCATGTTTCGTGGCCCTCTGCCTTGCTTCCACAGACAATAGTCTTTGTGATCATTCACACAACTTCACAGTGTCATCCAGCCAACTTCAGATCCACCAATAATATGCATTCTATTGGTCATTGTAAAGATCATTTGTAGATCTACGTAGCAGCAACAAATATAAAACATAAGGTTCAACAGTTGCGGAAAAAAAACTAACTAATGTATGTATCCAAGACCCGGAAGAAGCAAATACGCTACATCGCCAAATTTGGTCATTGAATGCCTCTTTCCAAAAATAGCACAGTTAATTTTTTTCAACAAATATTTTTATTTCTGGGTTCTACGGCGTTTTACTGACATTCGTTTTTGATTCTGTCACAAAATTCCATAAAAAATATATGTGGAGGCGAGATAGGTCTGCGGCTAGTTTTGTGAAATGTGAATAAATATTAAGCTTAAGAGATCCTTTATCCGCCCCGCAGTGGGGAAATTTCAGTGTTGCTTTACAAGTCACAGAACGATAGGAATGAGGAGCACACAACACAAGATTGATGAACAACAACTCTCTTTATTCTATACTAAACTTTGACTTTAGCACGATATAGAAGCACGCCCCTAGCATGTACTGTATAGTAATATGGATCTCTATATCTTAATAGTAAAAAGCCTGTATGTTTGTGTGTGTTTTTGTGTGTATTTTTCTTGTTTTTGTGTGTCTGAATAAAATAAATACATAAATTACAGTCATAAATGTGTTTCAATCCGGATTGTCTGCTTCTGGACAAGTCTTTTTTTTGGGTTAAGCTCAGGGTAAAGCCTACACTTGTTGTTTTAGCTCCAGCAAACGAATGCAAAAAGCCAAGGTATGGTCCCCTAAAGCATGGAAGGCCAACATGTGTAGGCGTACAAATGTGTGTGTGTGTGTATGTGTGTGTCTGTGTGTGTGTGTGTGTGTGTGTGTGTGTGTGGTCAGTCAGTGAAGGTAGGATTAACTTGGTCCCATGACATAACCAGGCTAAGAGGATTGTTAGGCAGCCAAATGAACTCCTCCTCCATTTCTTCTGCTCTCACCTCGCTCACGTCTTCACACTTGCGCCGGTCTTGTTCCATAGTTCTGTCTTTATTTCTTTGTGGGCTATACAAAAAGCAAACGGGATCGAAGCTGAGATTATCAGGGTGAGTCCGCCATCTTCTCTGACTTTTTCATTGTAGGCTACTTAGAGGCAATTCCCAGACTGAACTTGGCTTTGATCATACAGTACAGGTTCAAGGCAGTAATGTTTAAATTGTAACATTGTTGTAAAGATAGATGTGAAAAATATTATTGAGGGAATTTACTAATAATCATTGACTGGCAGAAAGTTTGCAGTTGGAAAGCTTTGGTCAATGTGTGATTTCTGTTCTTGGCAAAACTCTCTCCGCTCTCCTTCAGGGTGTGCCTCCATCTGTCCATGATTGTTTGGATTTGGGGAAATTATTTTGTGTCTGTCTGGTGTCAAGCTTCCCTCAGATGTAAGACAACTTTTAGGCGTGGCTCTATAATGTAAAAAGTATATGTTTCTTTTTATCCCAATATAGATTTGAATGGGTAGGTTCACACTGCAAAAAAAAGAGATACAATATGAGGTAATAATTGCTTGAATCGAGTGGTTTTTATCTAGATTTGAGTTAATTCTGAGTGTGTTAAAACAAGATTTTCCATTTAGTTTTACTTCAAGAACTGTTATTTCTCATTCCAAGGAAGACATTTCTTGTATCTCTCTAAAACAAGATCCTATTCTTCCAAATTTTGTTTAAAGCTCAGTCAAAATGTGCTCAAATGAAGATATATTTTGCCAAATTTGAGCTTTTTTAATTTAAATTTTTCATCTCTTTTTGCAGCGCATAAAAAGAAGTAGGGCTGTAAAAAGTGAATTGCTATATTCAACTCATTAAATGGTTGTTAACTAATTTAGTCAAAGGTTTATACATATATATTTCTTTTTACAAAAACGTACCTCTGCTGAGAAGAGATTTTATGACTCACATTTTCTACTGATTCTAAAATTGCAGAAAGAGATTAGAATGCATTTTTTACTTAATCAACCCAATTTGTGAGTGAAAAAAAATTTTCACTCAGCTTTCAGAATTTTAACACTTTAACCAATTAATCAAATCAATTATCAAAGAATTGTTTATTACATCCCTAATTTGAAGTTGAATAAGTTATTGTGAGATCCGTGTCTAATCATGTGACTACTACAGCCTTGTTCTAATCCAAGTGGAAAAAATGGGTCTTAACTACAACTTGAGCATGATTTTCTTGGCTTATTCTTGTTCTATACAAAATTCTCAAAAACTCAAGAGTGTTCCTTTGTGTGTGTGTGGGTGTGTGTTTCTTTTGGTTATCCCTATATAATAATGGTTGTAGCAGCGTTCATTCCGTCACTTCCAGAGCAGTTTGTGTGAGAATCCCCCTCCCCTGGTCAGCTCCACTACGGCCTGTCACATGGGGGGCCGTAGTGCCGCCTTTATGGTCTCATAAATCTGGTGTTGATCCGTCAGTGTGTAACCCTAGACTCCCTCCAGCTGTGAGTAAGAGAGAAGGAGGCATATGTTAAGGATGTCAGGTGTGGCCTTTTCACTGAACACATGGGCCTGTATAGAGTTATGTACAGTATAAGGCTAGGATTTCTTCTCATTGCACTTGATTAAGCTGCTAACATCATACAGTGTGTGGCATTTTTGGGTTCTTAGGGATGTCACGATTATTTCAACCTTTTTACTTATAGTTATTGTGTGGAAAAGCCTTGTGATTTATTATATATGAATATTTACATTGATAATAATAATGCATTGGTTTCATATAGCACTTTTTGATGCTTCACTTGTCATTAAACTTTCACTCCATACACGGTGGTGATAAATTACTATTGTAGCCACAGCTGCCCTGGGGCACACTGACAGAATCGAGGCAACCAGTATGTGCCATCGGCCCCTCCGACCAACACTATCCATTCACGCACATCAGTCTCATTCTAGGCAATGTGGGTTAAGTGTCTTGCCTAAGGACACAACGACCATCTTCCATCACAGTACTAACCAGGCCCTGCCCTGCTTATCTTTAGAGGTCTGACGGGAATGGCCACATGGATGGGTGTAGTATTTTTATTACCTCACTAAAGAACTGTAGAAGCTTCAATAGAAAATATTTTTTTTTGGTCAAACATTACATTTCGGCTTCTAAGTTCATAACTGCTTGTATTTGGTAATTATTGTCATTTTCATTATATTTCATTTTTAGTTAGCGTTAAAATCCCTTTGCTGTAAATGTTGTAGTGTTTCACATGTTGATTGTGTACACGTGTTCCTAGCAAATAAATACATACACACAAACATATGTATGTATACGCACATACATACATACATACATACGCACATACATACATACATACATACATACATACATACATACATACATACATACATACGTATGTATGTATGTATGTATGTACACAAACACACACACATACACATACACAGAAGAATACGCAAAGAATATCTACATCTATCTTATGCCTTACACAGAACAATAACATTTAGTGTGTTTTTTCTGCTGTATATATGAAACCTTTAAAAGTATCTACAATGCAAAATGCAAGTTACACGTTTGTGCGTTGCTATGGGGATCCGGCAGAGTGCTATGGAACCTTTTGATTTAACATTATTTTAAACAGTATCAATCAACAGTCCTCACTGAACATGGGGTATTAAAGTATATACAAAGGTACGAAAGTATTGAGTCATATAGTAGTGTTCCCTGTTTGTCCTGTAGCTGCTAAATCCAGCCGTGCTTTTCCAGTAGGTGCTAACTTCTACTCTATGACATTGTTGGAGGACATTTTCTATACAGGGTTCAAGGGGGTGCGCGGTTCTTGGAGTTAGCTCGGACCCTCCCTCTTGGTGCACGGATAGAGATCTTATAACAAAGCCTCCTCGCGGCTCCGCTCCGGTCAGTTTGGAAGAATGTCTCCGGGCTGTTATTGGAGATTAGGA